ATTTGTTGACTCTTAATCACAAAAGTCTGACTGATACTCTGGATACGAAAACATAGAATACAACAGCTCCGAACACAGGGTCAGGAAATAATATAACGCAAACGAAATTAATTGATCAACATATTTTTTCCGATGTATTTTTTTTATTTATTTTTGCATTGGTATATCTGTTTATTGGGTATTCTTTTTGGCATCTCCCAGCCGCTGCCCCATTGACTTTCACTTTGGCTCCCACTAGATGCCAGTTAATCAGTCAATTGAAAATCCAGCAGCCCTTTATTTATAACACTTTAGATGAAGTGTTACTGCTTGCTTTTTCATCTTTGCTGGAGAGCTGCAAGCAGAGGTGAATATGTGTGCAGAGTAGGTGGAAAACCAAGAAAGGACGAGGGGAAAGCCAAAAATCAATAAACTTTTACTGAGATGCTTTGTGCAGCATGACGAGACGCAGGAAGGAAGAGGCAAGACAGAGAAAGTGGGGAAAAAAGACTTTAAAGAAGACAGAGTTATAAAGGAAGCGGAATCAGTCGTTTGCTGTTTCTTTTTGCTTTCTTCATAACTTTGGTCAGTTTCATTTCGATTCAGTCTATTTCTATTGTGCCAATTCACAACACATATCATCTCAAGGCACTTTACAGTTCACCAGATTATCCAGTCAGATAGATTCAAAGTTTTTTATGTAACAAAAACCAGTTGATTGCATCAACTGATTGACTCGAAGGCAATCCCCCACACTAAGCATGCTTGTAGCGACAGTAAAGAGGGAAAACTCTCTTTTAACAGGCAGATTAATCTCACTGTAATCTTTGCATTAATGTAGATTAATCTAGAAGCACTGACCTTGTGACATAAACTGACCCTGTATGTTTGTGGATTTCCTGAGTTTTTCTTTTTTCGTGGTCCTTTGTTTTGAAAAGTTCAGTAGGTTTATCAAATTCACATTTTGTTCGTTAGCCACCTTTACAATATATGTACTGTGTCATGGTTTGTACCACCTGACCAAGACAGTTTTTATGTCAAGAGAAATTGATAATTTTCTCATACAAATGTTGCTTCATGATAACATGTAACTAGATCTACCAAATGCATGCAAATGATAAAGCATTATATTTCAAAAAACATTGATGAGTGGTGCAGATCATACAGACCCATACTGGTTTATGGTAATACTGCCCTTTATGTATTGATAAAGGGCAGTCACTGTCTGACTCTCCTGACTTCTGGGTCCATTGTCCCGTTTTATGTCATGAACAAAAATTTGAGCACATCATTGCGGTGAAGTGAAGTAAATAATTCAGTGAACCTAGAATAACTTCCCCTTACTATCCACATGATGTATTAAATGGTTGAATGTCTCAGTTAAAAGTTTGTCTTTTTTTTTTGTGTTTCTCCCTTCCACCACCAGGAGGCACCGGACTCCAGTTCGCCTCCTCACACACCTGCAAGCTGTTGCCTCATCACCGGACTGCTCTTAAGCTGCTGGTTGCCACTACTTCGACGCCAGAGTTTTTGGGGTACTCTTAGCCAAGCCGAGTCTAATCTGAGTTTTGCATTTTGAGTTTTTGTCCTCTAGCCAAGCTGAGTTTATTGAGTTTTACTGAGCGCTTGTTTCTCCCTGAGTCTCAACTTTGTTTGTTTTTGCCTTTCGGCAGGAAGCCTTCCTGCAAACTGGACCTTCTGGGACCGCCTTCTCCCAAGTGGGATCAGCTGAGTCTTACACTGAGCGACGGATTCCAAACAGGAGGTTTGGATCCAGCCACCTTTGAGCACGCTGAGATCACTCTCTGAGTAAGGAAGTCATCTTCAACACGACCCGTTCAAGTACCACCGGAAAACCGAATTGAAGCCAGCGGCTGCATCATTCCACTCCATCCGAGTTCTGGGTAATCCCTGTTCCGCCCTCCACCGAATCAAACAAACCCTGGAAGACCAACACAAGAGGGTCCGAGCCTTAGAAAAAACATGATACCCTTAAAACAGGCATTGTTTTGATGTCTGTGTAACGCGTAAAAAGAAATAACGATAACTATTTAATGTGTCTTTTTTTACTAGCTTTGTGATTAAGCTCTAGTTGGAGTTTCTCTATGGAGTATTGTCTTGTTTCCAGCTAGAAAAGTGATGCCAGGTGTAGTTATTTAAAACGTGGATAGTCCAGGTGTGCCCTTGGTCCCTGTAGCATACAGAAAAAGAGGTGTTTCTGTAATAGATATCTGGTTTCCTGTGATGGATCACTTCTGCTCTTTTGTGCATTCCATTTTTTTCCCTCCTTCACATCATTGAGAAGATGTAATGCCGCTGACTTTCAATAATCCAAGCGATTTAACGGGTTGTAATCATGCTGGGGTTTCATCAAAATCTCTGTCAATTTGTTTGTTTAGTTGTGAATTTTGTGTAACTCGTGCGTTCTGCTTGATTTCTTCATTTCCGCCGCAGTGCCCCGGGTCTTGACAAGCTGTGTTTCATCCCCGGTGTAATTGCCTTCGCTCCCCTCCCTTTCCATAATTACTCATTTGCTCATCACACCCGGGACACAGGAAACAGAAAATAACCACATCCACCATTCCCAGCCGTGTTTGTCATCTTCATCATGTTGTGTACCTCCTAACACCTTCCAAGGTTCTGAAACGTCTCTGTTAAAACATCCGTTAGCATAGCGGAGGCTTTCCCCTCAGCCTCGGGCTCCCATCTATCACAGCTCACCAAGGCAAATGGAGCTTTCAGTCGTGTGGTGATAAGAAATCAGAGCCACATTAAAACATCTGTCACAGCTCCTAAGCCCGGCGCAGAGAGAGATACCAGGAGAGGGTAAGGAGGTCGATGAGATGTTTAACTCATTTGTCGGCGTGTAGGAACAGAACCTCTGTTTTAACAAAGGTTTTACCTAAAACTCTGTATCATGACCATTTTGTTGCTTTACTTTCTAAAACTAAAGGGTATAAAAAATTTTCAAATCCTTTATTTCATTTATTTTCCAAGCTTTGGATAGGTCACTTCATAACTTCCAAGTTAACCGAAGGCATACCTGGGAATGTATTTCAAAGTGACACTTCATCACGGCAAAATCAACTAAAATCAACGAAGACCTCAACAGGACAATTGTTCACCTTCAGTGTTGCATTCATATGTTTTAATAAATACTGTGGCTTGCAAAAGTATTCATGCCTCTTTTAACTTTTCCACATTTTATCAAATTACAATAACAAACATACTTACATTGGGTATGGAAAGTATTAATTTGCTAAAATCAATGACGTTGATTTCATTTCTCATTAATGCACACTCAGTACCCCATCTTGACAGAAAGAAAAAAAAAGTCTTTGCAATTTTTTAAAAGAAATATCAAATGTTCATAAGCTGTGACTCTCAGGTTTAACTCACATGCTGTCAATTTCTTCTGATCCTCCTTGAAATGGTTCTGGTCCTTCTTTGGTTTCCAGCTGTGTTTAATTAAACTGACTGGACCTTTTTTCAGGAAAGGGACACACCTGTCTATATAAGACCTTCCAGCTCACAGTGCATGTCAGAGCAAACCAGAATCATGAAGTGGAAGGAAATGCCCAAGGAGCTCATAGAAGGAATTGTGGCAAGGCACAGATCTGGCCAAGGTTACAAAAGAATTTCTGCGGCATTCAAGGTTCCTAAGAGCACAGTGGCCTCCATCATCCTAAAGGAAGAAGTGTGGGACGAGCAGAACTCTTCCTAGACTTGACCGCCCAGCCAAAATGAGCAATCATGGGAGCCTTGCTGAGATAGATAAAGAAGAACCCAAAGATCACTGTGGCTGAGCTCCAGAGATGCAGTAGTGAGATGGGAGAAAGTTCCAAAAGGTCAACTATCACTGCAGCCTTCCACCAGTCAGGGCTTTATGGCAGAGCGGCCCAATGCAGGACATATGAACGCCTGCATAGAGTGTGCCAAAAAACACATAAAGGACTCCTAGACTATGAGAGAGAAGATTCTCTTGTCTGATGAGACCAAGATTGAACTTCATGGTGTTAATTCTAAGTGGTATGTGATGAGAAAAGCAGGCACTGCTCATCACCTGCCCAATACAATCCCAGTA